TCCTGCTGAGTCTCCTCCTCCTTCCGTCCTCTTGACATGCAAAATACACATCCAGTGAATACCTACACAATGAGAGTTACAGGACTTTGTTGCTGAAAATCCCTGTATGCCTGGTCTGTAACTCTTGTGTAGGATTCCATTGTTTCGGTTACTGCTGAGCTTGACATTATGTGAATTGCACCTGTGGTATGGCCCAGTTTGGGGTTGTACAATGCAATAATAACTTGAAGCTACCAGTTCAGCAGAGCAGAGGTTTCAGGATATGCTTTCTGCAAAGTAAATTGCTTTTTGAGTTATATTTTATTTCTTATTGTTAATATTTTAAACTGTAAATATTGAGCTCATGTATGAAAATAAGTGCCATATACTAATTTTCCACGAAGTATGTGTTTTCTCTTTAATGGTCTTCAGCCTGACTTCTGAAATCACTTCTTTACGGTTAAAAGCTGTTGATATTTCATTTTGGTGGAGTTATTTGTGATCAGCATCAACATTTTAGCACTTTATGTGTTTTCCCAGCCTAGAGATCTGTCAGTTCCCATTTCTTTACTGTTAGGAAATGAAAATTATATAAGAGGATTCTGTGACAATACACAAAAAGATAAAAACAAAAATTAAAAAGAATGATAAAATACGTCCCTCAGAATTCACTGCTGACAATTCACTTCTGATTTTGTTTGTTTAGGTACTTCCCATCAAGGTGGCTATTCCCATGATGCTGTGGTCCACGCATTACAAAAATGTGGCATTCGTCATATTGACACAGCAAAAAGATATGGCTGTGAATCTCTCCTCCAGAAAGCCATCAAAGAGAGTGGTGTGAAGCGAGAGGACCTGTGGATAACTACCAAACTGTGGCATAGTGATTATGGCTATGAAAGCACGAAAAAAGCCTGCTTGGAGTCATGTGAAAGACTCGGTGTTGAGTATCTTGGTATGAATCTTTACATAGATTGATTATTTATTTTATATATTTTTATTTATTATTCATTTATTGCACCTTCTGTGTGAGTATTTGCAAAGATGAATGAATTCCTGAAAAAAAGATGTAGTATGGATAGATCACAGAAATAAAATTCTGCCTTTATTTACACATTTGCAGATTTCTTGTTCTGTTTGTTCTCTAGGAAGTTCACATGCATATAATTGCACATACTTCCTTGTTGCCAATGCTTTAAAACAAGTCATGAGTTTTATGTATTTTGCTAAAAACACCTGAAACCTATGAAACAAGGATTCATGAACTTTACAATAATCTATTGGTAACAGGGTGACAAAAATGACTTAACTTCTGTGGTCTGTTATATCTCAAGGAATGGGAGTCCTTTCTCAAGCTTATTTTGTAGGTGTGTTAAAAATTCAGAATAACTGCCTTTGGTTTGGTCTGTCTGATGCAATATACTTTGGGGAAAATTTTAAAAGTGTCTACAAGACTTTAGAAGACTAAATCTAACAGTGAATTAGACTTAGGCACTTTTAAACTTACTCCGATCATAAACTTCTCATAGTCGAAGATGTGATATTGTTACTCCCTCATTAGACAGGCAGCAAAGAGCTGCAATAATGATGCCAATTGATTCTTTGCAACAGGTCATAGGAGAGGAGGTACTTCATAAAAATAAACATGACATTTTTAAAAATGCTTTTCCTGCTTCTTCGCTAGCTGGAGCAATGAAAAGAAAGTGGAGGTAGAGTAAGATGAATTTAAAGTAATAAAATGACACTGGTGGAGATAGTGTTTGTGCTGATAATCAAGGAATAATTGACCTAACCGTCAGACGTTATCTGTCAGTGTCCTGAAAACCCTCATTTTGTTTCTCTTTCCTCAGACTGTCCCCCTGTTACCAATAAATAAACTTCAGTAAGGAAGTGAACAGCTTTTGTGGCAGCTGTGTGCTGTATATATTGGTTTTGCTTGGGTACTTTGCAAGATGAAGGTAGAAAACCCCTGTATCTGTTAAAGACCGAGATATTTACGTGCACATCTTTGGCTCCAGTATTTCTGGAAGTGTATCCCTTAACTTCCTGCACAGGTACAGAATAATGCAAAATGAATTCAAATCTCCCTTTGTCTGTCCTGTGCAAATACAGGGCACTTCAAGGAGGCTTTCATAAAAATGTTTCAGGCCCTGACTTTCTCCTCTAAATTAAGAGATAACATGTGTCTTCCTTTCTGCTTTCTGCTTGTTATGTTTTGTATTTGCTTTCTTTTTTCCTTCTGCTTGCTGTGGCGCTGGTGCTGAATGTTGATGAGCAGAAAACTTGACTCACTTCCAGGAAATAATTTTTGGTGATTTTTAGTACTGTGATTTGCTTTTATTTTCTCAGGTAGTAGACTGATTAAAGTAGGTGCTCACACAAATACTCCACTTAGTATTTCTGCTTAGCAGCAATATATGAAACAAGGAAAAAAACATCTGAGAGCAAGAAATGCACAAATACTGTCACCATGTGAGTGAATCCTTGGACTGGCATAAACAGAACTTCAGTTTGTCAGATAGGTTCAGCTCAGACTTCTTTTGCTTATATTACTGAGACAGTTTAAGGAGTATTACAACTGCCTGTGCAATGTGCTTCCATACCAGATGGGTTTTTTCCTCCTTTTGTTTTTTTGTTGGGTGTTTTGGGTTGTTTTTTTTTTTTGATACCCTCACCCATCTTCCCTCCTTTCTCACCTTTCTTCCACTGATGTGGAGATGTCTGAAAAATTTATAAAGCTTTTCCTGCACCGCCACTTAGTCTGACATAGTGCCCTAAATCAATGCTGGCTTCCGCTTGCTTTAACTTGATGATTTGCAAACTGTGATGGCTTAGGAAATACTTCACATGCAATTCACTGGTCTGTCAATGAGGATGGTGACCTCTGCAAGAAGGATGGGATGGCAAGTGGAGTAAACGGTTTTGGCTGCTTGAGTTTAATCTCTGTTGGATCAACTCCACAGACCACTTTTGTTAAGCATAGTATGATCTGCACTCATTGAAAGAGATAAGGTGGAGTTCTATGTTTAGTGCTATATATGCTGGTGAAGTAGACCCTTAGAGGAGGTGTAATATATGTTGGTATTCATGGGTTCATATAAAGCATCATGCTTTAGGGAGTC